TATCTTTTAAAGATTTTATTTATTTATTTATTTTTCCCCCCCAAAGCCCCAGTAGATAGTTGTATGTCATAGCTTCTGCACAGCAAAGGAAACCATCAACAAAACAAAAAGACAACCTAACAATTGGGAGAAGATATTTGCAAATCATACATCTGATAAGGGCTTAATCTCCAAAATATATAAAGAACTCATGCATCTCAACAACAAAAAAGCTACCAACCCAATTAAAAAATGGGCAAAAGACCTGAACAGACATTTCTCCAAAGAAGATATACAGATGGCCAACAGACACATGAAAAGATGTTCAAAATCACTAACTATCAGGGAAATGCAAATCAAAACTACAATGAGATATCACCTCACGCCCGTCAGAATGGCTATAATTAACAAGACAGGAAACAACATGTGTTGGAGAGGATGTGGAGAGAAGGGAACTCTCATACACTGCTGGTGGGAATGCAAACTGGTGCAGCCACTATGGAAAACAGTATGGCGATTTCTCAAAAAATCAAGGATAGAACTACCATATGATCCAGCTATTCCACTGTTGGGTATTTATCCAAAGAACTTGAAAACACCAATTTGCAAAGGTACATGCACCACTGTGTTCATTGCAGCGTTATTCACAATAGCCAAGACTTGGAAGCAACCTAAGTGCCCATCAAGGGACGAATGGATAAAGAAGCTGTGGTATATATACACAATGGAATACTACTCAGCCATAAGAAACGATGAAATCCAGCCATTTGTGACAACATGGATGGACATTGAGGGTATAATGCAAAGTGAAATAAGTCAGAGGGAGAAAGTCAAATACCGTATGATTTCCTTCATTAAGTACTAGATAATAACAACAATAAACAAACACATAGGGACAGAGATTGGATTGGTGGTTACTAGAGGGGAAGGGGGGAGGGAGGAGGGTGAAAGGGATAATTCGGTACATGTGTGTGGTGATGGGTTGTAATTAGTATTTTGGTGGTGAACATGATGTAATCTATGCAGAAATAGAAGTACAATGATGTACACCTGAAATTTTTACAATGTTATAAACCAATGTTACTGCAATAAACAAAAAATTAAAAAAAAAAAAAGATTATCTTTTAAGGTAAATGTAACCTTCAAATCATCTTTAAAATTTTTTAAGAGACTTGAAAAACTTGCATTTGTTCGAACACCTGAAAAATCAAGTTCATGTAATTATAAGCTCATTTATGCCTTCCTATTAAGTTTCTGATTCCAGTAACAGTGGAATTCTTCAAGATAATTTTAACCTCTTATTAAACTTGTAGAAATGGCCAGTGTAACTTGCTTATTTCTAAAACCTCAGGTTTCACACACACACAAAAATAGTATATGACATAATCCGAAGCCATAGGAACAGAACAATAGAGAATTTTTAGACAACATGTCTGGGAAGGAGAAGAGAAGCTGAAAGCAAGGGGGCAGGATACAATTAACCCCTTGAAACACAAGCTCTTGGAGAATGCTCCTCTCCCCAAATCTCCAGATTCTCCACTAATAGCGAAGAGAGGAGGAATAGAGGTAAAGTATTTTTTAACTTACATAGAACTTTACCCTCAAATAGCCCAAAACGTTTTGAGTCTGCTGACTAATTGGCATCAACTCAGATGATCTGTCCAATTCAAGCCACACTCTGTAGTTTGGCAAGTGTATCCGGGCGAAGCTCTGAGGACGCCCCAAAGTGCACTGTCCTCTAATAAAGTCTCTGGGAAGTGAAGCAGTCGTTCTATTTCCTGGCACAGACTTTTGCAGTAAGAGCCTGAGAGGTAACAGAAGACTTAATAGCATCCTGCAGGAGCAATGCCTCTAGACTGTGAGTTAGAAATGCAGCCCTGTTGCAGACAGATGTGACACCAAGAACTTGCGAATGAGAGGTAATCCTCCGACTGGAATCGCCGGCGGTGGACAGTCCCTAAACTGACTCATTAGGCACAAATGGATGATCTGTCAGAGAATAATGACTTTTAGGATTTCCATTCTCGCTCTAATGCTTGATATTAATGACCTTTCAGGATGGTTGATATTATTGGAATTTCATTTGCCACAAGAAAGAAAACCAGTAAATGAATCAGTTTCTGAATGAAGCTAGAAAGCTGTCCCTGAAAAGGAAGCAGAATGACAGTTGTTGGAGAATAAGAACCAGCGTGGAACTGAAATATGCACTTAAACAAAACTCTCCTATTACCTCCGAATTTAATCTAATGGGTTTTTTGTGTGTACGTGATATACCTACAACAGTAATGTCCAAGACGCAGGCTTAAGCTCGACCAAAAAACTGAATCCCTAGACAACACATTCACCATATAGGGCCCCTCCCCGACAAAAATGTGAAATTTGAAACACAGCACTTTGAATTACCGAAGCCTGCCTATGATGCACTAGCCTGTCAGTTAGAGGTGTGCCTTACTAATCATTCATGGGACGTAGATTGCTATATGTCTGTAGCATGCAAGGCTCTGTGCTAAATGTTGCCACGGAGGACTTTATGGTCTAGATCAGAGGTCAGCAAACTTTTTCTATAAAGGTCCAGGTAGTAAATATTTTAGGCTTTGTGGGCTAGATGGTTTCTATTGCAACTACTCAACTCAGCCGTGTAGCGCAAAAGTAGCCGTAGACAATACATGCATGAATGAGTATGGCTATTTTCCAAAAATCTTTATTTATGGACACTGAAATTTGAATTTTTTATCATTCATATGTCACAAAATATTCTTCTTCTTTTGGTTTTTTTAAACCTTTTAGAAATGTAAAAACCATTTTTAGCTCCCAAGCTGTGCAAAAACAGGCAGCAGGCCAGATTTGGCTCATGGGCTGTGGTTTGCCACCCATTTGGTCTATGTTATTATAGATGGAAGATTGCCTTAAAGATGTACAAACAAAATTTCTGTAAGTCTGTATAGATGAGAGGGATCTCTTAAAGTCAGAAACTTCATGAAGGAGGTGCCATTTAAACTGATTTGAAGGATGAGATTTTAATTTTAATTTTTAAATTTTACTTCTTTACATTCACATTCACTTATTTGTTACCAATATTAAGCTTATTCATGGCAAAATTTTAAATTCAAATAACATATGACATTGAACAGATTACACTTTTTCATTCTGTGTGTATTTTTTTAATTGCGATAAGAACACTTAACATGAGATCTACCCTCTTAACAAATTTTTAAGTGTCCAGCGTTGTTAAATATAGACACAATGTTGTACTCAGATCTCTAGAACTTATTCATCTTGCATAAGTGAAACTTATATCTTGTTGAACAGCAGCTCCCCATTTGCTCTTCCCCCCATCCCCTGGCAACTGTCCTTCTACTTTCTGTTTCTATGAGTTTGACTATTTTAGATATCTCATATAAGCGGAATCATGCAGTATTTGTCCTTCTGTGATTGGCTTATTTCACTTAGCATAATGTCCTCCAGGCTTATCCACGTTGTCACATCCAAAAGAATTGAAATCAGGATCTCAAACAGATATCTGCACACCCATGTTCCTTGTGGCATTATTCACAATTGCCAAGATATGGAAATAATCAAAATGTCCATTGCCAAATGAATGGATTTATTTATTTATTTATTTTTTTTTTTTATTTTTTATATCCAGGCTTTCATTTATTAGGAGATAAATTGATACAGTCACATGCAGTGGGTGGTTGATGAAGAGCTGCTGTTGTTATCAGGCTATTTCAATGACTCAAGTTTTCTCTGCTGATATATTCATATACGGGGATCTTATATAGGCTTGCCAAGTTAAAATAAGTCCGCTAGGACACGGGAAAAAGTGAACTTAAAATATATTGAAACAGACAGTCATATTGTAAGTTAGCATTTGTTAATGAAGAAACGAATTAACTCCTAAAAAGTGATCATGAATGGATTTTTTTAAATGTGGTATATACATACAATGGAATATTATTCAACCCTAAAAATAAAGGAATCCTACCATATGAAGAATGGAGTTTTAGTACACGGGGTGAAGATCCACACTGGGGCACTTTTGAGAGTAAAAGGGTACATTGTTAATGGCTACTCCAGGACGGTAGGTGTAAACGCTGGCTGTTCTCTGCAAATTGGGACAAATATGGTTATCCCAGGAGGGGAGGGTCTATAAGGGCCATGAGCAGAGAGCGCTGAGTGTGGTCAGGGAGAGTGCATGGTGTATTCAATGTATAAAAAAGTCAGTGTGCTTGGTCAAAGCACATAGTGCTTTTATCTCCCAGGCATAGTGGGAGATAAAGCTAGAAAGATAGTCTGGGGCTTGAACTAGGATTGACCCTGTAGGTTCTTAAACATAAAGCTAAGACATTTGGAAATTGTTTAATAGGTGGTGGAGAGGCACTGCAATTTTTTAAACAATAGAGTGACATCATCACGTATCTGTGATATCAGTGATGTGCAGAGTGAATTGGATCAGGCAGAGACTACCTGTAGTGGCCCAATTAAGAGACCATAGCAACAGTTTGAAGAGGATAAAAGAACCTGGACGGAGTCCAGGCAACAGGAATAGAAAGGAAGGGTTGGATGAAAGACATATCAGGGAGAAGCAGTTAAGAGAAATTGTCAATTGAATGTAAAAGATAAGCTAAGAAAAAGGGAAAGCTGAAGGAAACTCCCAAGATTTTAGGTCGAGGTGACTATAGGCATACTGTATTTGTGGGTTAGGGAGAAAAGGGAAAGGGAAATCTGCAAATGCTTATACAGTGGGGATCCTATTCTTATTGTAATTTGGAAAAATAGATATAAGGTAGCAATGGTACTTCTGTAGTTTAACTTTTGAAAATACTTTTACGCCAGGGCAGCTCAATCTGAATAAAATTTTGAATAACTTTCTGATAAATGTGAGTATGAGCAGCTTATTTTGATAAAGTTGGACTTTGATTTGGAGGGAGGGTGAGGGAGAGGGTATGTGTCTCTATAACTATACTTTCTGTCTTCTTCTTGAGACCCAGTGGGATGCAACCCATATTAAGCTTAGTATAATGGTTCTTAGTGCTTGCTATGAAAGTAAAAATGAACCCACCTGTGGAAAAGGTACAGCATGACAGGCCTCTAGCTAGAGTATGATTCAGAATGATTGTCAGCCATGAGCTAGTATCACCCAGTTACCTCAATAGCTGTCTTGAGAGTCTTAAAAACTATCCATATTAAATCCTTGGTTTTTAAAAATCACTCATTTCCTACAGAACACTTAAGAATGCCCTGAAATCAAAAGAAAGAAACAATGATAATGTGCTACGACTTCTAAAAACTTGAGTTAAGCTTCTGCTATGTTCCTGACTCACAAAACGGTGCCCAAGCTGTATTTTATATTTTGTTCAAATTCGATTTTCCAAAGATTTTCTAAGTAGTAATTTTTTTTTCTGGAGAGAATATATCTGAGGAAAGGGAGAGAAACAGATGATGAATTAATGGAAAAAATGGCAGGTAATTGTAATTACCTGAAAGTACACACACACACACATACACACAAGCACACAAACACATACACATCTATTTTTAAAAAGAAATTTCTAAAATAACAAAGGGAATCAAATCGCAACAGGAACAAATTCAGAAATATGAATGTTTTATCTAGAAAAACTTTCCTGCTTTTTTTTTGACCATTTATAGTAAGTCATGGTTATTCATGAGGTAAAAAACTTGACGTACGATTAACCACTCTTGAATTTTCCATTCATAATTATCAGTTCATTCAACATTCTTCCGTGTTTAGATAAGAAACAAATAACCAGTCTGGCCATGGGGTCTGGTCTGCTATTTTCCTAAAACAGTGCACCAGAAGAGCAGAGCAGACGTGAACACATTAGCCTTCCTGGTCCCAGAGCAGAATCCCCAAACACTTCAAGGTGTGGATTATTGAGAATGCCATCCCACTGTGGCGAGAGACCGCTGGGCGAACAGTTGGGTGGGCACAGAGCAGACCTGGTGCTGTAGCGTGTCCTCGGCGCCAAAAAGAGAAGTCGTAGTGTGAAACCCCACATGGAACCAAAACTCCAGCTGACGCCCATTCATCAATGCCAGTAGCCAAGGAGGACGGGTTTTACTTTTTAAAAATTTCCTTCTAGGCTCTGCGTCTTTGCTTGTGCCCTGTCCTTTAAAAAGGGTGTTTCTTTCATTCATCTTCCGAGTATGTTTACCTCTCCCTGTGCTTACTACATAACATTATGCATATGTAACACTATCATACTACGTAGCAGCAGGTCATTATGAACACGCCCCACACTATGTATTACATATAATGTAAATATCTAGACAGAAACATATTATAGATATATAATTACAGGACACGGGCCAACATGGCTGGGCTTCTGATCATGTCCTCTCTCCCTCTTCTTGGTAGTTATGATTACACACGAGGGCTTTGACAACTTCAAGATTTCTAATTAAAGCACACCAGTGTTTTAGTTTTCTCTCCTTTCATTCCTTACCTTGCAGGCATTTGTTATTAGGTATCGCGCTATTTAACAACCGTTCTGACAGGATGAGAACCTGATCTTAAGGAGAATGTGTCAGAATACACGTGAACCTAATCCTCTCCTCACCCCCAAGCAGGTTTTTGCTTTCAATAGTTGTTAACCAAAGAATACTGGAGCGCCGGTTTCCTCTCTTTTTATCATTATTCTCATAATTCTTAAATCGAAATGAAATGTAAATTGCTGGGTTGAAGTTGTATTTAAACAAATGACAGTTTGTTTCTGGATTGACCATGATTAACTTTTTCTATGAAAGCTCCGTTTCCAATTGTGAGGTTGAGTCATAGGGATGTGTGTGGAGTTTTAGATACGACTAATTTGAGTCTTTACAGAAAAGTGTCATCATATTAGAATAACTACTAAATGAAAAAGGTTAGGCATTGGAGACCTAGATTTGTTTGTCTCTGTAACCACCTCTCTCATGGACCTTAAATAAGTCAACTCACCTTACTACCCCTAAAAACCTAAAGGTGTTCTTCGGAGACTCACAACGTTACATCAGTGAAAGCAGTAAAGGTATATAGCAGGGCTTTATCAACGTGTTACCATGTCTGTTACTGTACAATTATTATTCATTATTATTGCTACTACCACCACTAAAAATAGTGCATAACTTCAACCTGCCTATTCTAAAAGATTAGAACATATCCATACACTCTCAAGAATGAGAAGTTTTTGCTATGAAAATTCTCATGTGCAACTTTTTAATCCTGACAATAGGTTGATCTTTTTCTTTACTAATAGATTCTTCATTAAGTTTCAAATAGAGAATGGTTGTATTGTTTCTCACTTTCAAGACATAGCTTTGGCCTTCCAGACCACTTATTAGCTGAACAAGATAATTGGGAATAGGAAATACTTTATTTGAAAGCCTTGAGTATCCCTGCTGGATCCTGGCTTGATTTCTGATCCTTAGCAAATCACTGAGTCTCTACGAGCCAACTTTTCTTTAAATCTGACAATGTCTAGCTTAAGGAACAGCTGGAAAAATTACAGTTTTGAGCCATTTCATTTTTTAATACATTATATACATGGTTGTTAGAATAGGTGCAACTTTACTCCACATAGAAAGTTTACGTAGTCAATCTTTTATTTAATAATAGTACACTTAAAATGTGTATGTGGAAAGATAATGGAGAAAGGGAGGAATGGAAAATGGCTACTTTTTTTACTATATCGTGTATTGGGGAGGCATGAAGAGGAAAATCATAAAATCAAATAAATTATAATTTCAAATAAAAAGTAGTTACTTGATGTTGGTGTTCTCTAATCTCTGAAAACATCTTACAAATAAAGAACCAAAACAGAATAAATACTAAGAATTCTGAGGGAGCTTCTTCAATCAGCTCTGACCACTCCTTGCTGAAGTCTCTGATTGCAGAAATACATCTGATCTACCTTTCAGAATTATTGGATATAAAATGGCATATCACTATTATTATTATTTTTTTCTCCCTTCCTATATTTTGTGCAGTAGACAAGAAGTCATTTTGGACCTCTTTTAATTCTTTATTCCTTTTTGTCTTTAGGAGTTGTACAGATGTTCTGTGCTGCATAATCTTCATACTGTTCATTATTGGCTACATTCTTTTAGGACTTATGGGTGAGTAAATACAGGTATAGACGATATTTAACATTTGTTAATGGAATAACTGAGTCAAAGTCACATTTTTAACATTGATCATTTTCTTCCAAAAGCCTTCTTGTTATTGATTATTGTCTTTTCTGGAGGGAATGTGCCTCACCAGGATTCATTGGGTAGCAAACACAGTGAAAAATAAACACAAAGTAGATTATTCAAAGGCAAGCCCAAATTACTTAAGTAAATACAATTATAAAGAAGGAAGAAAAAAGCTTATGGTTTCTTTCTAATCATTTTTATTTTTGAAATTCTATTAAGCAGCTAATTATGTTCATGTAACTATTTACTAATATGAACTAGGGCCTAGATCAGTTTAGGTAATATATAAATTTTTCTTCTTATAAACAAATTAAAAAGAAGGAAAATTACTAAGAACTGCACCAGCTAATTCTTTGATATGTAAGAAGTCTTATTTTGTCTACTAGAAAGAGATATCCTATTGTTTGTTGTTAGGTTAAAGATCTTTCTGTGAAAGTGAAAATGAAGAGGACAAACATAGAAATTCTTTATTTGGATTTTTTACAAACTACTAAAAGAACTGGTGTGAATATTTTCCATGAAAAGGTTTTACAATTGCATGTGTATGTACCACATTTTTCCCCAGGCACTTAAGTCCTGTCCCTTAGATGTTGACTTAGGAAACTTTAATACATCCTTATTAGGGTGGGTGCTATAAAAGTCAGATAATAGCTTCTAGTACCAATAATTAGTGGCCTGGAGTTAATATGGATAGAATGTATTGGCAGAAAGAAGGCTGTGCCTATCTAGGGAACAATGGAAAATACTCTTCCCTGTTCTTCACTTTTGTCTCCCAATAAGAGAAATACTTTGAGAACAGCAATTGAAATTAATTCCAAAAGATCATCTCAGTAATACCATGCAAAAAGTACACAGAATTGAAGAATTCAAAGAAGTAAGTCAGGACGATAGGGATAGGGAGAAGAATAAAGGAACATAAACCATAAAACTGAGTAATGTATTCTAAGGCTTTCAGAAGATTCCTTTGGTATTTCTTCAAAGTATTTTAACTTCTAAACATTAATGTACTTGCAGCACAATACACAATCTGTAAATTGAATATTACAATAAAATGAATTTTCTTATTATACGACTAATAGAATTTTAGCTTCTCTAACTTTGGGACACATCTTTCTTGTCTATGTAATATTTTTTGTTCGTTTTTACTTTTTGTCATTGAATTGAAATTTGTTTCATAAGAGAAGATTTGGAGTCAAGCCGATCTAGTATTTCCTCAGATTATTTGGTGGACTTGGGCTGGTTCTTAACCTCAGTTTTCTATCTGTAAAATATTGAAACACTACCTACTTTGCAGGGCTGTTGTGAGAAGTAAATGAAATAATATCCAGCTGCACCAATAATGCTGCATAATACAGGCACATCTCGCATATATTGAGGGTTCAGTTCCAGACCACTGCAATAAAGCAAATATCACAATAAAGTGAGTTACAGGGATTTTTTGGTTTCCCAGTGCATATAAAAGTTATGTTTACACTATACTGTAGTCTATTAAGTGTGCAATAGCATTATGTCTAAAAAAATAAGTTACAAACCTTGATTAAAAAATACTTTATTGGGGCCAGCCTGGTGGCGTAGTGTTAAGTTGGCACGCTCTGCTTCAGCAGCCCAGGGATCATGGGTTCGGATCCTGGACGTGGACTTACACACCACTCATCAAGCCATTCTTTGTCAGTGTACACATACAGAAAAATAGAGAAAGATTGGCACAAGTGTTAGCTCAGGGACAATCTTCCTCACAAAAAGAGGAAAAAAAAAATCTTTATTGCTAAAAAATGCTAACCATCATCTGAGCTTTCAGTGAGTCATAATCTTTTTGCTGGTGGAGGGTCTTGCCTAGATGTTGATGGTGGCTGACTGATCCGGGTGGTGGTTGCTGAAGGTTTGGGCAGCTATAGCAATTTCCTAAAATAAGACAACAATGGAGTTTGCTGCATTGATTGATTCTTCCTCTCGTGAATGATTTCTCTGTAGTATGCAAGGCTGTTTGATAGCATTTTACCCGTAGTATAACTTATTTCAAAATCAGAGTCAGTCCTCTCAAACCCTGCCACTGCTTTGTCAACTAAGTTTATGTAATATTCTAAATCCTTTGTTATTATCTCAACAGTCTCCACAGCATCTTCACCAGGAGTAGATTCCATCTCAAGAAATTGCTTTCTTTGCTCATCCATAAGAAGCAACTCCTCATCCGTTAGTTTTATCATGAGATTGCAGCAATTCAGTCACATCTTCAGGCTCCACTTCTAATTCTAGTTCTCTTGCTATTTCCACAACATCTGTGATTACTTCCTCCACTGAAGTCTTGAACCCCTCCAAGTCATCCATGAAGGTTGGAATCAACTTCTTCCAAACTCCTGTTAATGTTGATATTTTGACCTCTTGTCATGAATCACAAATGTTCTTAATGGCATCTAGAATGGTGAATCCTTTCCAGAAGATTTTCAATTTATTTTGCCCGGATTCATCAGAGGAATTGCTATCTATGGCAGCTATAGCCTCACAAAATGTATTTCTTAAATAATAAGACTTGAAAGTTGAAATCATTCCTTGATCCATGAGCTGCAGAATGGATGATATTTTAGCAGGCATGAAAATAATGTTAATTTCATTGTACATCTCCATCGGAGCTCTTGGGTGACCAGGTGCATTGTCAATAAGCAGTAATATTTTAAAAGGAATCTTTTTTTCTGAGCAGTAGGTCTCAACAGTGGGCTTAAAGTATTCAGTAAACCATGTGGTAAACAGATGTGCTGTCATCCAGGCTTTGTGGTTCCATTTATAGAGCACAGGCAGAATAGATTTAGCATAATTCTTGAGGGCCCTAGGATTTTCAGAATGGTAAATGATCATTGGCTTCCACTTAAGGTTACCAGCTGCATTAGCCCCTAATAAGAGAGTCAGTCTGTCCTTTGAAGCTTTGAAGCCAGACATTGACTTCTCCTCTCTAGCTATGAAAGTCCTAGATGGCATATTCTTCCAACAGAAGGCTGTTTTGTCTACATTGAAATCCTGTTGTTTAGTGTAGCCATCTTCATTAACGATCTTAGCTAGATCTTCTGGATAACTTGCTGCTGCTTCTACATTAGCACTTGCTGCTTCACCTTGTACTTTTATGTTATGAAGATGGCTTCTTTCCTTACATCTCATGAACCAACCTCTGCTAGCTTCAAACTTGTCTTCTGCAGCTTCCTCACCTCTCTCAACCTTCATAAAATTGAAGAGAGTTAGGGTCTTGCTCTGGATTAGGCTTTGGCTTAAGGGAATGTTGTGGCTGGTTTGATCTTCTATCCAGACCACTAAAACTTTGTCCATACCAGCAATAATGCTGTTTTGCTTTGTTATCATTCATGTGTTCACTGGTGTAGCACTTTTAATTTCCCTCAAGAACTTTTCCTTTACATTCACAACTTGGCTGTTTGGTGCAAGTAGCCTAGCTTTCGGTGTATCTTGGCTTTTTATTTATTTATTTATTTGTGTGTGTGTGTGTGTGTGTGTGTGTGTGTGTGTGTGTGTGGAAGATCAGCCCTGAGCTAACATCCGTGCCCATCCTCCTCCACTTTATGTGGGACGCCGCCACATCATGGCCTGACAAGTGGTGTGTCGGTGTGTGCCCGGGATCTGAACCCAGGCTGCCAGCAGCAGAACGCACGCACTTAACTGCTATGCCATGGGGCCAGCCCCCTATCTTAGCTTTTAACATGCCTTCCTCACTAAGTTTAATCATTTCTAGCTTTTGGTTTAAAGTGAGAGATGTGTGACTCTTCCTTTCACTTGAACACTTAGAGGCCATTGTAGGGTTATTAATTGGCCTAATTTCAATATTGTTGTGTCTCAGAGAATAGAGAGCCCAGAGAAGAGGGAGAGAGATGAGAGAATGGCTGGTCAGTGGAGCAGTCAGAACACACACAACATTTGTTGATTAAGTTTGCAGTCTAATAAGTGCAAAGTTCATAGTGCCCCAAAACAATTACAATAGTAACATCAAGATCACTGATTACAGATCACCATAGCAAATATAATAATAATGAAAAAGGTTCATGGGCTAGCCCCGGTGGCCTAGTGGTTAAGTTCAGCATGCTCTGCTTTGGCGGCCTAGGTTTGGTTCCCGGGCACGGACCCACACCACTCATCTGTCAGTGGCCATGCTGTGGTGGCGGCTCACACACACAAAAAAGAGGAAGACTGGCAACGGATGTTAGCTCAGGGCAAATCTTCCTCAACAGCAACAACAAAAAGTTTGAACTTTTGTGAGAATTACCAAAACATGACACAGAGACACGAAGTGAGCAAATGCTGTTTGAAAAATGGCGCTGGTAGACCTGCTCGATGAGGGTTGCCACAAACCTTCAATTTGTAAAAAACACATTATCTGCAAAGAACAATAAAACAAAGTGCAGTAAAATGAGGTGTGCCTGTAGTACTAGGCAATATTTCACTTGCTACCATTGTATAATCTAGTTGCTCTGAATTTTAATAAATTGTTTTTAAATGTAATTTACTATATTGTTTCTATGGCAGCCCATAATTTTGGTTATTAAAGTTTAAATGCACGCAGGAACTTCATAAGGATCTCATACTGTGCCCGGAATCTTTCCATTAGGAGGCCGTATGGCATACCTGAATAAGCCTCTCCTTTGTATCTCAGAACCAGTCTGTTGTAATCCACAGAAAAATGCCTTCTGTCCTTACATAGAGCTGGGAGAGCCACTGCCACTCTCTCCTGTCGACACAGCAGAGGGAAGGGGTGGGAATGCACACCATCATTCCCTGTGGAGCAAGATGAGAAATTCGCCTTTTTGTTTAAGATCTCCAGATTCAGTTTGTTAATGCCTTAACTCACATTAGGAAATTGGAGGATAAATGTTCCTCAGTGAAAAAGTGTGTTTAATATTTAATTAAGTTAGTGATTCCCCCAAATTAAT